CAGACATAGACGAATGCGCTTTGAAATTGGCTCAGTGTGACTCTTTCGACTACCCATTGTGCGTCAACACTGTTGGGAGCTACGCCTGCAGGTGTGCTCCGGGTTGGGAGCTCTTCCTAAAGAACGAATCGTTCATTTCGCACCCGTTTCTGCGACGACACACTGGTCTTCTAACCAACCAAACCTGCATACGTAAAGCCTGATCTGGTTATTTCTTCTCGTATCGTATTTAAGTCCATCGTTTTCTGTAGCGAAAAGATGTCCGCTGCCGCTGAACGACTTACAGAACGGTTTCATAGAGCTATCGTCACCGTATCCAGTAGTCGGAAGCACTCTCAAAATTCACTGCAACTACGGGTACTTCTTCGCAGGCGGATTCAGGGGCATCGCTACGTGTTTAAACAACCAGACATGGTCGTTGAAAGTTCTCAAATGTATCCGTAAGTCAATAAATCTAAGATGTATTAGAACATTTTAGGCAGCTTTCAGATTGATTTAAATATTTGAGCCAGAGTATTTAAGAAAAGAGCGAATGTCTTCTGATCCTATGGTGAGAACTTGGCAGTGTTGACACACAGCGGCACAATGTTCGGTCATTCAGTAGAATTTACTAAATTTACCGTACTGTTTTCATCAACAGCTTCTCAACCTCATTCCAGCGACGTTCATTGGGTGGCTGTAAACACGTACTTAGTTTATGCATCTGACAACGGGGTGAAAAATTTCCTAATGGCTTTAAGGCAAATCTATCTAAGGGAAGTCCTGTGGGAGTACAGTGCCTGAAAGGTCGGATTTGAACTCCAGAGGTACCGGGGTCGATTCCGGCGGAGAGCAAACTGTCATAGCGAACAATTCCCTTGAGAACGGAATTATTCACGTGTTGCTTCAGATCAGAGTTGTTCAGTCCATAGAACATCTAACTCAAAATCGGCTGCTCTCCAGCTCGCGCTCCCGTCGTAATTAATTGCCTTTTTTTCCTTCGGAGGTTAATAATTAATACTTTTCCTTCTGCGAATGAAACAGGGTACTACACACTGTGCTTGCAAAATTGCTGTTGTCGACTATGGCCTTGAGATATGCGACATTCCTGGCCGATGGCATGGGAATGAAGATTATCTTCCCACCCAAAATCTTCATGAAAAAGGGTATCTGAAG